GCTTTGGCTATACATCCCACAGATTTTGGATATGTTATGTTTTCATTTTCATTCAGTTCAAAATACTTTTGATTTTATTCTTTAACACACATGCACACACACACCCCCATAGGTTATTTAAGAGTTTTTTAAGTTTCTAAATAATTGGACATTTTCTAGTTATCTTTTTGGTATTGATTTTTAATCGAATTCCATTGTGGTCAGAGAACATCCTTTGTATGACTTCAATTCTTTAGATTTATTGAGACTTTTTTTGTGGCCAAGAACTGGGACCAGCAAGGTTTTTCTCAGGGGGCTATACAGTAAATATTTCAGGCTTGCTGGACTTAGTCTCAACTACTCAACTCTGCCATTGTGGTCCGAATGCATCCATATTCAGTGTTCCACCACAATACGTAATGAATTGACATTACTGTGTTACAGTAAAACTTTACTTACAAAAACACAGGCAGCTGGACCTTGGTCTGTAGTTGGCTAGCCCCTGATCTCGACTGTCAGTCATCTCAGTAAATGTTCTCTGTGCACTTCAAAAGAACGTACCTTCTCTTCTTGTTGGTTGGAGTGTTCTATAAATGCCAGTTGTGTTAAGGTGGTTGATAGTGTTGTTCAAGTCTTCTCTATTCGTAATGATTTTCTATCTACTTGTTCCATCAGTCATTGGAGAGCGGTGTTGATAATTTCAGCTGTAGTGGATTTCCTCATTTTCCTTGCAGTTCTGTCAGGTTTTGCTTTATGCTGAAGTTCTTTTATCAGTTGCAGGATTATTACATTCTCTTGATGGCATGACCCAGTTATGACATTACAAGGTGACCCTCCTTTTCCCTGGTAAGGTGATTCGCTCTGAAGTCTACTTTATCCTGTACAGGGGGGGGCGAAAGTAAGCTTAGAGTTGTGAGTAAGTGAAACAGAGTATATTCTTGTATTATTTATTAATTATTCTACTATTTTCCACACAAACTATTGTAAACCTACTTTGCCCCACCATGTATAATTTTAGCCAGTCCAGCTTTCTTTGTTTAGCGCTACATGGTGTATCTTTTTTCTGTCCTTTTATTTTGAACCTTTTATCTTTTTGTTGGCTTGTAGCACTGTTATTTAAATGGTGTAGAGTGTACATGTTGAACTTATAACAGTCAGCCTTCAAGTGATACTACGCTACTAAATGCAGTGTAAGAATCTCACAACAGCGTTCTTCTGTTTCCTCCCTGCCCCCTCTGTGCTCGTGTTGTTGCGTATTTTACTTCTACCTGTGTTATAAGCCCCACGACACACTGTCATAAGTTGCTGATTATCTTTTAAATTGATCTAAATAAGAAAAGCCTCCGTGGTTTACCCACGTAGTTATTCTTTCCGGTGTTATGCATCCTTTACTTAGTCCCAGGTTTCCATCCGGTGTGGTTCTCCTGCTTACAGCACGTCCTTGAACATTTCTTGAGGTATAGATCTGCATTCTTTCAAGCTTCATGTGTCTGCCAAAGTCTTTATTTCACCTTTTGAAAGATGGTTTCACCAAATAGAGAATTCTAGGTTCACAGTTTTTCCTTTTTCTTCAACTTAAACATGTTGCCCCACTTTAAAAATAAAAACTGCACTAATGACCCTAATCTTTAAAAACCTTTCATCGTTTTATTTTTCTTATTACAAATGTTCCTTGTAGACATTTATAAAAGCCAGTTTAAAGAACAAAATTAAAATCACCTTTATTCTCACCACAAATGTTTAATCACTATTTACATGTTAATTCCTCTTTATTCTATGAAAATTTAGGGGAGTTTTTTAAGTAAAATTAGAAAGTATGCTGTTTTGTATTTCTGTTTTTCAGCTTAATCATGAAACTTAATTGTTAACATTTTTTTACATCATTATAAATTCTTTTTAATAGAATCCCATTTTTATATTTAATATACGTGATTTAAGTTGTCATTATTAGACATTCATGCAGGAAATGCAGTTTGATTTTGCAAACTTTTAGACGCTGTTTTGGAGACAATAGTTGACAGTTACAGTCTCCATTGACATAAAAAAAATTTTTATTGAACTGATAGCTTTTTTCCCCCTCCACCGACCGACATTTGGGGTTGCTCCTCTCGTGTTGCTACTAGCAACACCAAAATAAATAATTTCACATATAGATCATTTTGCACACTTGCAGCTATAAATGTTGGGTGAATTCTCCAGCATGGGACTCCTGAGTCAAAGGCGATATCCACACATGGGTGTGTATATGTACATGTATGTGATTTTGATAACTGTTACCAAGTTGCCCTCAGTAAAGGCTGTGTCACTTTATCTTCCCGTAAGCAATATGTGACAGTCTGGTTTCCCATGTCTTTGCCAAGATCCTCTAACTTACTATCGTACTTTAGTTTTACTGTCAGTCTGATAGGTGAAAAAATGAACTGATAGGTTTTGTTTTTAGTATCTTCTATTATTTTCTTTCTTTTGCTCTCCTAATTCTGTTTGTTTCTTTCGTTGCTCTTAGTAAGTAGTCCTGTCTCCGTACTTGCCTCACCTTTAAATTATTACCAAAAAATTCATAGTTCATGAAATACTTAACTTCAGTAGCTTTCACAGTTTAGATTCACTGTGTCAAATGTGAATATATAAAAAGACATACATAATAATGATTCAGATTTACCAACATAAAACATAACCAGGTAGGTCTTGTTTTTGAAGCCCTTTAAAATGTCAAAATGGGTAAAAGAATTAGTAGTTGGCCCCTTTCACAACATTATATGAATATTTACCTTGTTTAAGTTCATTAAAATTCAAGGGACCACCAAGAAAGGGCTTGTGTGACATTTTAATGCTTCACAATCTTCGCTTGATTTTATAATTGTGTATGGAGCACGTGCATGTGCATTGTTCTGCCTGCGCCCATGAGTTGTGCCGATGGGGTGCACCAAGAAACAGGAAAACACAGCCCTTCTGTGCTCGAGACATTTCTTTCATGTCTATCATATTGGAAAATTTCACCTACAATAGTTTGTTGCTATTTATCAAAGTGGCCTGGGCACTGGAGAGTCAGGAGAGCTTAGAGACTGAATTATGCTTTTCTAAGAACTTAATTTGACGGCTCTAGTCACTGGGTGAGTCTGTCACCCTCTTCCACAGTGCGGCCCTAGCTTTGCCACATGTCCCTTGTCGGGTCAGGCAGTACGTATATGTCGACAGGAAGCTCTGTTACAGCGCTGCTTTTCTTGTGGTCCTTCGATTTCAGCTGTAAATAAGAGCATGCCCCCCGTGAATTTCAGAGCTCTCTCAGGCTGTGCTGCCAGCAGGGGGGATGCAGGCGTTCCAGAACACGACAGCTCCAGGCGTGGCTTTCCCACCTCCTCTGGACCGTCTCCAGCTGTTGAGTGCCTTTGTGCTGGTGCGTGAACAGGCACGGTCTCGGGACGTGTTTGGGGAGAGCACCGTCTTCTCGGTTTGCTTGTGGATCGGGTGGGCCCGCCTTGGTTGGCTTGCCAGCTGCTGGCACTGCACGGCTTTCCTCTGCAGGGCTGGTACATGCCCATGTGCAGGTCCTAGGGATCCTGACGGTGCGTTTGGGGACCTGCGATACCCAAGAAATTTATAGCATTATAACAAGTAGATAGAACAGTAGTTACACCCAGGCTGTGTTGTGCGTGATTCAGTGTGCCACCATGTCATGACTAAATTCTAGGGGCAAAACATGTTCCAAAATTGGATAACTCATTGCTTCTGTTTTTCCTTCTAGTTTCTTTTTTGCTTTCCTTTGAGTTCTCATGGAAGATTTTCATTTCCCTCATGAGTCTCGTGAGCTCAAGCCATCTCTGTGCCCAGGTCGCCGAGTCTGCGCAAGCACTCCCCGGTTCTAACGGTCCCACTCACATGTTGCTCTCCTCTGCCCGACGTGTGGGGGCGGGGGGCGGGGCGCGCCGTGCCCACTGGGTAGCAGGTCTCAGGAGGGGAAGTGTTGCCCCAAAGCCACGCGTTTACAGCCTCTTCTGTCTGCAGTAGAAAAAATAAAGGGGATTTTGTTTCACTGAAAGTAACTCCACTTTTCTTCTCTTTCAATCTAATAACCTTGGTTTGGGAAGGCCTGTTTTATTCCAACAGAGAACTCGGAGGTGCTTGTAAGATTTTTGTTCATTTTTTTTCTATGAAGGATGGGCTTATATTTGTCTTTGCTCCTCCGAGTTAATTTTTTGATGAAAAGGTACTAATTCTCCTAACTTTAGGAAGGGTTCTGAAAAATATATAAGATCCTATAGCTACTACTGCTATACATACCAGTCAAAGTAGCTTAGGATTGAGCACAAATAAATTGATGGAAGAAGTTGCTCCCAAGAGCCACCAGTAGAGCTTTCATCGATGGTTGCATTATTTTTTTCCCTCACGTGTTAGCACTTAAGTAACTATTGAAATAATTGTTTTCTGCTTCTTGTGTTCCGGGGTAACACAAGATGAGGAGAGCCCTTTCTACAAATAGCGGCTGTACATTCCACTTTATAGGGGAGGTGCAGGTTGGACGTGGCACAGCGGTGCGCCCAAACCTCTCGTGTGCGGCCTGGCAAGCACTGGGCCCCTGGGGGGTGGTCCTGGGAGAAACTGAGCGCTCTTCGAGTAACGCCTTCGAGCCTCGTGCAGCGGCAGACTCTCTGCAGCCCATCGATTCTGTGAACGTATTCAGGAGTCCCCACATGGCCTAGGAGTCCCCACATGGCCTGGGACTGGGGAGAGCCTGCGGGGCGGGTGCAGAGGGCTTGCTCTCCAGATAAGAAAGGCCCTCACACTGAGTGGCACTTTTTTCTAGGGTTGCAGGAAGAAAATAAATGTTAAGTTACTACTTTGACTTTTATGTTAAAGACCCGAACTTCATTTAAAGAATTTATTCTTCAATCTGAAAACTGTCAAGTGTCATTGGCTAGGGTCCAGACATCTGTATTCTGCCCCAAATTCGTATCTGTTGGACTGAAGGTTGGCCCCAGGATTGACTGTGGTTTTCTCTTGAGTGTGCGCTTTATGCTTTTCAGGTCTTCGGGGCCCTACTCTACGGCCAAGGCACCTCACCCCGTGCTGACCCCAGCGGCCGCTAATAGCCAAGCCAAGCAGGTGGGTTCCTCTTTGCGTTGTTAATGGTCCTGCAGCATAACGTAAGACAGCCCTGTTTTTAGTCCTCACTTCATTTTAGATGAGCTGTAAGTGTGACAGAGACCTGCCACCCTTCTCCCACGGTTTATGCCAGTCTTGACCTGCAATGGGCTGGCCAGGGCCTCCTGTGACCTTCATGGGCCGCCTGGCAGTCTGCTTGTGGTCACCTTGGTCATCGCTCTTATGCCTTATATTTATGTGGGCATTTGGATCCACGGTTACCGTCATTTGACATTATCTCATTGACCCACGCAACAGCCACGTGCAGGAGACCAGTGCAGACGTGCACGGCCACTGAGTGGTGTGCCAGGCGGGGGCCCGAGCCTTGACTGCCCTGGTCCCTGCTCGTTTCGCAGCGCCTCTCAGCGTCGCTGTCTGGAGGGGAGCCCTTGCTTCCTTCTGCGGGCCATCTCTCAGCACTCGTACTACGTAGTCCGTGATGTTTGTTAGGTCTCTTTTCAGGCTTCTGCCTCCTGAACATTGTCTCTTACCAAAACAGGCCATGTCGTCAACAGCTAAATAATAGGAGGTGGCCGAGAGGTACATCAGACTGTCCCTGCAACTTTTCCTGGGAAAGCCTGGTTTCTCCGCTGCTCTTACATCTCCCTCTGAGAAGAGTGGTGTTAGGCGGTGATTGAGATTGACCATGAGAACTTGCCTATTGTGAGTTCTCGAGCTTGGCTCTGCTCTCTCCGTTCCTTATTTTCTTGTGGCTTAAAATGACGTTGAAGCAGTTAGCATTTGGTTATTCTTCTGGAAGGTTCCATGTTCACTTTAGTGGACACAGGTTAAAGGATCAGTTGCAACAAATGAGTAAAGAAACATTAACTGGAGGTGGATAAGTTGACGAGTTTTGCCTTTTCAGCTTATTATAAGTTTATTGAGAACCAGAACTCATTTCATGCATATACTGCTTTATTTATTTGTCTACCCAGTAAATCCTCCAGTGTCTTTAATGTGCGAAGCACTGTGCTAGGCACTGAGAAAATAGCCACCGGATAGACAGCATGGCCCTGCCTTGTTGGCACTTGCAGAAAGAATATTCCGTCCTCTGATACGATCTTGGGCTTATTATAAACTGTGTTATCATTTTACGTGCTCCTTTATCCCACGGGTGGTGTGGCCTCCCACACATGCTTGCCTGTGCTCTCTCTCTCACAGGGATCGCTGATAAATTCCCTAAAGCTGTCTGGGCCCACGGCAGCCTCTGGACAGTTGTCATCTGGTGATAAAGCTTCAGGTCAGTGTGCATTTCTGTTCTAGAGAAAGTAAAGGCGAAAGATACGCTCCACCATGGAGTTTATGGTTCTGAATCACAAAGGCAGTCCACACAGGAAATCAGGTAAAAAGACATCATGAGGCCTTGGTTGGTGAAGAATCTCAGGAAATTCGCGAACCCTTCAACAACTCTGCAGGCTGCTGGGACTTGAGAGCAATAGGCCACACCTTCCTTCAGGTCTTCCCAGACAGGAGCCATAGGGTTGCCTGCGCCCGCCTTGTGGGATGATCAGTTGGAGAAGAGTGGATTGGAACAAAGAGTAAAAAGTTCTCTCAGTTTGCAATGACGATTCAAAAGCCAGTGAAATACGGAAAGTAAAATGATGTCTTAAATTTCAGAGTAGATGTAATGCCAGTATTGAAGGTTTTATGACTCCGCATACATCCGACAATCACTCACACATAATTATTTACCAGAATTGGTTTTACCCTACGTTCTCCGACCAGGCATCCGCATTGCCCGTGGGAACTTGAAGCAAGAACAGGCTTTTATGCAGAACCGAATTCTGATATGGGCTCTTCCTCAGCAGCCCCTGCTGCTGGCTCCTTTCCTGTCGCCCACTTTATGTGGGATGTGTTCCGTGCTGCTCCAGAGATCTCGTGCCCTCCGCAGTCCTTCGTTTTCACCGCACTCTGGACTCCAGTTTTTATTTTGATTCATGTTTTCAAGTGGGCCTTCAAGCTAATGCTGTTAGACTTGCTGAACCTCAGTATTAGCGGTCTGTTTTCCCTAACCTCTCCTCAATCATACGCTCATCTGACTTACTCCGTAATCAGAAGCTTTCTCTTGGATATTGGCTGTATCTTCATTATCTATTCCCTGCACTGAGAAGAAGCATAAGCTGTATTCCAGAATTTGAATTAGTGCAGAACTGTAGTTGTTGTCATTTGTGCTTCACATGAGAGGATGTATGAGGTACTTCTTGACATGGATCTAAAGCGTTGGATTAGAAGGAAAATTTTAGTGGAATTGAAAACTTTTGAATCACCTAGGGTTCAAATGAAGAAACTTGTTCCCATTTCTGGCTAATATTTTGGAAAAAACTTTTGAAAGATCCTACGTCCTGACTTCTTTCAAGAACTTCATTGGAGAGTTCTTTTACTCCTAAAATGAAGAGTCAAGGCTCTCTAAGGAACTTTGCTTCATGCGTGTCTTATGCAGTTAGCATGACCTGCAGAGAAGCTTTGAGATCATTGAGTGGCGACAGTGAAATGATCTCTCATTGCTGGATGTTTACTTCTCTATTCACTCATTGGATAGTCCAAAATAAAGGAGGTTTTTTTGGGGGGGGGGGAGGAAAATTTTCCTGAGAAATACTATTTAGGAATTTGCCAAAAATTTCTTTTAAAAACCATATCTGGAACCTCTATAGAATGGTTCTCTTATTAATTGATCATGGAAACACCTTCACTGTTTTTCTAATAATAAAGTATTACAGGTGCACAAAGGAGTCTTAAGGTGTAGCGATAGATAGTGTAGCAAGAGAGAGTTGCCCAGTATGTTCCATATTCCTGAGATGATGACCCTCAACCATTTGATAAGTGTCTCTTGAGGTTCCTTCACTGTTGTTTTTTTAAACAACAATAGGCATATCCTGCCTATGTTGGTTTGTGACCACTTCTCCTTGTCCCTCCCGCCTTCCAGCAGGCGCCCCGCCCATCTGTGCAGTCTGCGGCGGCGCTCCTCCCACCTTTTGTGGGGGCCCTGCTCAATTCACCGGTGCTCTGCCGGCAGGTCAGGTGGTTTCTGATTTTCCAAGATTATAAGCAACGCTGCATTGAATATCCTTGTGCACACCACATTGTCTTATAATAGTTGTAAAAATAGTTTTGCTGATATTTATCTCATACTTAAAAGGAAGGGTTTTTTTTATTGTGTGGTTGGGCTTTTTTAAACGTAGTTTTCTCATTCCCCTCCCCCCTTAAAAGTAGAGTATTTGGGAAAAGGCTGAAGATAATACCCCAAACTGTTAAGTAGCTGCAATGAAATTGAGTGTGGGGAGGATGACAGGTCACACTTCTAACTTTCCGTACTTCTCTGTATTACAGCAATCACGTATTTCCTCCATAATTTTTCAAAAAGGGAACTTGTAACTTGTTAAATACAAAAAATACTACTATGGAAAATACAGAAATGTAGGGAGAAAACAAATAGCCATGAAGTCACTACTCGGAGATATTTCGTTAATATAGCCTATTTCCTTTGGGTTTTTTTCCCCTTCGGTATATACTACTTTTTAATAACTATAGAGCTCCTTGGAAAGCTTTAAATTTTAACTGTGCTAGAATTATTTTGATCTCTTTCCTGGAAAGGAAGTGTGGCAGTTCTGGTTCGGAATGAACGTTGTCAGAGCCGGAGGGTGGGATCAGAGACCCTGAGTGTGCCTCCGCCAGGCCTCCCGGCTGAGTGGAACACACCCACGCAGGGCCCGCAGGCCTGAGGCCCCTGCACACTGCCCGGCTGTGGCAGCTGCACACTGGAACCAAGTCTCTGGCTGGCTTTCCGTAATGTCCTTATGTTTTTCCCCCATTTCAGGGCCAGGTGCGACCAAGGTGGAACCTGCTGCAACTTCCGCCCCGTCTGCAGTCGGGCAGCTCAGCAAGGCTTTCTCATTTTCTTCATCAGGGTCAGTAATGAGCTTAAATTTTGTGGCTCTTCACTAGCAACCCTAATAGAGAACGTCCCCAAATCTTACCGTCAGTACAGTGCTTATTAAATGTACATGAGCCCAGAGTTCTTATCACTGCAAGAGTACATCAGATGATAGTGGCAGCAGCCTGATGTCCCAATGTAAACCTGTTTCCCCCTTTCAATTCCAGTTGGTACATGTGTTATTACATATGTACTTGTTTTGGTGTTTAGGATAAGCCTTTTTGTCTTTGGGTCGTTGGCCTGTGTCAAATTCTGCAGCTGATCTGGTCTGTCCTACTGAGTTAGTTTCATTCCAGCACCATTTGGCATAGGCCGTGACACTTGGATCAGCTTCACTGCACTGAGAGGCGCACACACTAGACTTCTGAGAGGCAGCGGGCGTCACCCTTTGAGGGAGTGGTGCGTGCCGACACCTCTGAGGGCTGCACAGCGTCTTCTCCCTACAGAAGGGGGTTAGACTCCGCGCTGCTGAGATGCACACCTGCCGGAAGGCTTTTTGCCTTTGAAGGGTGGTGCATTCAGTCCCAGTCGAAAAGCCTCTTAAGCTCTTTTAGTCGATACGGAATCATACTGACCACACACTCCTATGATGTTATAAAAATGCTTCTTGAGCATTTTTCAGCCCTAAAACATTAAGAGAAAAAGAGGATGTTAGGATTTGCGAGGGGAAATTATATATTGTTTCCTCTTTGCTGTGGATTGTTATGTTTTATACAGGGCTGGCAGACGTAATGCCCGCCCGAGTGTGATTGGGAGGGGGACGTGGCTCTGGCTCGAGATGGACAGCAAATGAACATCTCACCTAAGATGTCATATGGTGCGCTTGAGTGTGATACTGTTACAGCATTACATGCTTAGGATTTTGTAATAAAGGATTTTGTAGTAAAAAAGGGGCATTACTTGTACCAGATCCTGTACTTCCCAAAGGTACTTCAGAGCAAATTTTAAAGAATAGGCTAGTGCCAGGAGTTAGTGCATCTGTTACAAATGCTAATAATTAGTCTTCTGTGAGCTGATATTCTCCTTCCCGTTTTTAAAATAGGCTATTTAGCCTATTTTAGTCATTTTAAACCTGCTCTGCAGGAACTCACCCAATGACCCAAACTGTAGGTTTGGGTCATTGGGTCAATGGCTTACGTCCGTTAGATAAAGTTTCTTCACCAAGGTGGAGGCAAAGAAAAAGGGTTTTTCTCAAATGTGACAAACCATTTAGCACACCATTTTAGATGGTCTTCTGTCCATTTGATGAAGGCCACGATGGGTAAAAGAAAATCTAAATTTTTACATTGCTTATTACATTTGATATGACTGGTTCCTTACATCTTAAAGTTCTATCACTTTAAATTTGCTCTTTGCACTTTTATCACAATAACTAGTCTGTTCTGCTCACACTTGGGCTGAATTTTTTTTCTTTGGCTGTGATGTCTTTACTCTCAGTATAAAGAAAATGTACAGAAGGAGAGAGATGAAAGGGGTCAGAAAAGGTTTTGAGACGGATATTCCCAGCCCAGAATGAAGAGCTGTGTCCGAACAGCAGGGACGGTGGCTTCTATGTCAGGCTCCCCATCTGCTCCCCTAGTAACGTGCCTCCATGCTGGCGGGCCCTTTGGTGCTGGGGCAGATTATGAGAGTTTCTCCCTAATCCAGCCTGTCTTGTTCCCTCCACTGGGCGGACCGTCTGCTCTAGCCACCGCTCCCACGTGCACATTGCTGTGTGTCCACTACTGCTCCTTCGTCCTCCTTGGAGTAGGTTCCCTTCCAGCCCCTGCCCGGGAAAGCCCAGCTGCCCCCCACGGCTTTCTCGGCCTCCGCCCCCGCTTGCCTCCCCACAGACTGCCTCTCCCGGCCGAGGGGCCCTGACGCAGCCTGGCTGCCTTGCAGAGGTGTGCTTTTTCCTCTTTGTTTGTCTACTGGATTGTGAGTTCCTGCAGAGCAGGTTGTGTGAGTGCACTATGAAATGTAACATTAAAAGGAGAGTCTGGTGCCTTGGTAGTTACCCTCTTCTTTCTCTCCTAGGACTGGCTTTAATTTTGGGATAATTACACCAACACCGTCTTCTAATTTCACTGCCGCACAAGGTATGGTCCCTGTCACACAGCATTACTTTTATCTTCCCCCTAAAAAAGTGTTGGGGTTTTTATAGAGATGCATTGACATTTTACTTGCTGCTGAGTCTTGCCTAAAGTATTTGTTGTAAATTTAGTCTTGATATTATCCATGCGAATAGGCTGGTCCATAAACCAGCACGGTGCCAAGAATGTTACCAAGGAAAGCACATGCAGAGGAAAACAAGGGGAGAGGTCTTTATCTCTCTTTCGGCACGATATGCTAATTTTATGTACTGTAGACAAGGCGTAGGTCTTGCGACGCCGGTCTGGAGAAGAGCAGCTGTGCCTCTCGCCGGTGAGCTGCCTCACGCGGCTCCTGCTCTGCAGGCGTGCGCTGTCCCCTCGGGGAAGGCCGCTGTTGGAGCGGCGTCTCGGGCTGCGTCAGCAGGAGAGGCTTTGGCTTAGAAAGAGTGGAGATGTGACGGTCATATTCTGCTTCATCCATCCCATTTCCTAATTTCTTTGTCTTTCTAGGGGCAACACCCCCTGCTAAAGAGTCAAGCCAGCCAGACACATTCTCGTTTGGTGGGGGAGGCAAACCTTTACCTGAGACCATTTCTGAAAGCTCGTCTCCCTCAGCAGTGACAACAGCATCAAACACCCCCGGAGCTGCCACTGCCCCTCCAGGAGAGCCTGCTCCTCCGAGTGGCAGGTCTGCAGTGCCTTCTGGGATTGCTCTCTCCACCCCTCCCAGCAAGCTGGAAACTCCGCCGTCTAAGTTGGGAGAGCTTCTATTTCCAAGTTCTTTGGCTGGTGAGACTCTAGGGAGTTTCTCAGGACTGCGAGTTGGCCAAGCAGATGATTCCACAAAGCCCGTCAGTAAGGCTGCATCCACAGGCCTGACGAGTGCACAGCCCACCAAGACTCCTCTTGTCCCCTCGGGGTTTAACTTCGCTGGCCCTCCCACCATAGGCAAGGCTGCAGAGCCTCCTGTGACCTCCTCAGGGACCGCCACCCCAGCGGTGCCAGCTGCCGGCACCAGCACGAGCGGAGCCTCGACAGGTGTCTTCGGCAGTCTGCCCCTCACCAGTGCGGGCTCCTCGGGGTTCATCAGTTTCAGTGGCCTGTCTCTGAGTGGTAGCAAGACCAGTTTTTCATTTGGAAGCCAGCAGACGAGTAGTGCAGTGTCCTCATCTGCCCCGCCATTGGCCACCACTGCCACTCCCTATCCCACGTCATTCCCCACAATGTCATTTGGTGGCCTCCTGAGTTCAGCATCTGCTCCCACCCTACCTGTGTCCTCTGCTCAAAGCACAGAGGAGGCGACGTCATCATCTTTGCCCGAGAAGCCAGGCAGCAGCGAGCTCTCGGCATCAGCAGCCTCGCTTCTCGGGCTGCAGCAGGCGGCCCCGCTTCCCCAGGCTCCCCTGCAGACTCCTGACTCCACTAAGAAAGAGCCTGCCCCTGCCCAGCCTGCAGGCAGCAGTCCCGGCCCCGCAGCAACGAGCACCAGCCTCCTAGCGCCCCCTGCAGAGGCCACGCCAGCAGCCACCGGAGTCCCCGACATCAAGGCAGAGCCAGCCTCTCCTGCGTCCTCCCTGTCGGTGCCCGGGCAGACTGCTGTCACAGCAGCTACAACCCCAAGTGCGGGCCCTGTGACGGCAGAAACGTCAAGTGCCCCCACAGCCACCAGCGCTGTTTCCAGTGTTGCCCCGAGCCCAGCTGCTGACACGGTGGTGTTTGGGACTGTCACTTCTGGCTCCTCTGTCTTTACCCAGCCACCTGCTGCCAGTTCTAGCTCAGCTTTCAGCCAGCTCCCCAGCAGCACAGCCACCGCCCCTTCGGCCACCGCTGTGTTCGGGCAGGTGGCAGCCAGCACCGCGCCGAGCCTGTTTGGGCAGCAGACGGGCAGCACAGCCAGCACAGCGACTGCCACGCCGCAGGCCAGCGGCTCGGGGTTTGGCAGCCCAGCGTTCGGCGCCCCGGCCACAGGCGTCTTTGGCCAGACGGCCTTCGGGCAGTCCCCAGCCTTCGGGCAGCCGGCAAGCAGCGCGGCGAGTGGCTTCTCCTTCAGCCAGCCTGCATTCAGCTCCGGGCCTGTCTTCGGCCAGTCCGCACCCTCCACGTCCACGTCTACCGGCGGGAGCGTCTTCGGTGCTTCCTCAGGCTCCAGTAGCTCCAGCTCTTTCTCCTTCGGACAGTCATCCACCAGCACAGGAGCGGGGGTGTTTGGCCAGAGCAATCCCCCGGCCTTTGGTCAGAGCCCTGGCTTTGGGCAGGGGGGCTCTGTGTTTGGAGGCACCTCGGGCACCACCACGACAGCATCATCCTCGGGGTTTAGCTTTTGTCAAGCTTCAGGTAAGCATTTATGGAAGGTTTTTACCTTGTTCCCCTCTGTATTACTTGAAAAAATTGCAACAAGTCAGTATTACTGCCATAGTTAAAAGGGGAAAAGGGGGGAAACAAAAACAACTCCGTAAAGTCAAGAAGGGAGCGTCGAGTGCTGGTGGCCTGGGAGTTCTTCGGCCGAATCGCTGTAGCTGCAGAGTGGCTGTCTTCAGCAGGCCTCCACTCTCCTGGCCAACAGGGTGCCGATGTCATGGCAAAAAAAGTGAAGCCTAAGATCATGGCGAGTGATGAACGAGTCATAAAGAGGAGCGTTTTAATCAGAAGGCGCTTCAGAGGTCATGGTGTGCAAAACTGTCCAGCCGTAGGATGGCTAATCTGTCACCGCTGAGTGCTCGCAGAACCAGAACTGTGCCCGGGCCCTGGGCCACAGCCCTCCCGGCGCTTTCTGTCCGTTCCGATGCCATCTTTCTTGCTGGAAGGGCAGACGACAACATTTGAAAAGTTTGGTCTTTTTGATTTTCAGTGTTGTCATTTAAAAACAAAAATGAAATAATTACTTTTAAAGCAAGTAAAATGTGATCCTCCTGCTGCACATCCAATTTTAGCAGCTCCTTTTACTTTTAGAAGTTAGCAGCAGAACAATTGGAAATCTTTATAAGTCTCACTTCCCAGTGGCTTCTTATGAAAGGCATTTCTTCTGAAAGTAGACTCATGGGAAAACAAGGATTATTGATTGCTTGGTGGACAGGATTCCATGTAACTGCTAATTCATTCCTTTGGTGATAATTTATTTGAAAATGGTTCCTCACTTACTAGAGAGGAAGTCTTTCCTTCCCTTCCTTCAACCAATGTTTGTTCAGCCCCCACTGAGCTTGAGTCCAAGGACCCAGGGGTGAGAGGCAGCCATGAGGCCAGCGGCCAACGCCGGTGACTCAGCTTAGAGGTTGGACAGAGGAGGCCTTGTGAGTCTCAAGGAGTAGGACCTTCAGCCCTCTCTCCACATCATCCTTTGTTCAGTCAGAACCTGAGGATCCTGCATACACACATGTAGTCAAACCATTCCTTCATAATTAGACGACTCTGAAGTAACCATCTTTCATACAGTAGCCGTGGAGAAGCCCCTGAGCCGTCTCTCTAGCCCTGGCCGAGGATCAGACACCTGCCTGAGCACCTCTCCCCCTGATAGAAAGGAGGCTGGAACTCCTGCCTCCCAGCTCCTTCGGGCAGGCCTCTCATTTTACCATGGGGCTGTGCCTGGTCCTCCCAGGGCCTGTTCAGCCCAGCACTGCGGCAGTGTTATGCCATGTTGAAGAGGGACAGACTACCCTGGAAGAACCTGGTCTTGAAGATTAGGGGAAACCAGGGAGTAGACATGTGAGTGATAGTCATTGGAAAGACCTCTTGGCAGCTGACAATCTAGAGCACAGCTCATCCAAAAGCACACTGTCTGCTCTCTACGCCCTGGGTGTGGCAGGAGACAGGATTCAGTCTTTGGGACTTTGGAATTTATACTATGAGAAAGTGTTAGCAATGCAAAAATATCTTTATTTACTCGTGATTTTCTTCATTTCTTAGATAGGAAGACAGATTTTATTCATGGGATGATGTATTGTGGGATATCTTAACATGTCCAGCAACCATTTACAAAAACAAACAAACACTGTAATGTTGTAAAAGACTCGTCTAATTTAAACTTTTGTTTTCTTTTTATAGGTTTTGGATCTAGTAATACTGGTTCTTTGTTTGGTCAGGCCACCAGTACTGGTGGAACAGTCTTTGGCCAGGTGAGTATATGTGTTGGCCTCTATTCATGTCAGCATCTCTCAACTCGTCCTGTTGTTCCTGCACACACTGTCATCAGTCCGTGTCGCCTGCCTGACTGCAGCCCACAGCTTGTGAGGCACAGGAGCCTCAGCCTTTGGTTTGGGAGGATCACCACGTTGTCGATCCTTCTTTAAAAGTGCACTGCCTGACTGGTGCCAGCCTTTGGCAAACTGGCCGATGGGCTGATCGGCTCCTTTTTCTAATTTTCTTTCTTTCTTTCTTTCTTTCTTTCTTTTCTTTTCTTTTCTTTTCTTTTCTTTTCTTTTCTTTCTTTCTCTTTCTCTCTTTCTCTCTTTCTCTCTTTCTTTCTCTCTTTTCTTTTCTTTTCTTTTTAAGGTCATTAAGCTGAGAATGGTTGTTGCCTCTTTAAGTAGGTATTTAAACAAAAAGAAGAAGAATATGTCAGAAACCCGGTCTCCTTTTGGTGACCTGAGCTACTTTATTTTGTATAGCTAGTGGTTTATCTGTGTGCTAGGTGTGGTTTTAAGTGCTTTATGCAGATTGACTCCTGTAATCATAGTACTTCTGTAAGGCAGGTGCTGTCAGGTCCCATTGGACAGATGAGGCCCCTGAGGACCCAGAGGTTACCGCTGCTAGGTCGTAGGGACCCCACGAGGAATCCTTCTGAGGAAAGGTGCTCTGGTCTACCGGAAGTGACTGACTCGCTGAAGGTGTAGTTGCCATTTGTCCCCTAGTTAATGAAGTGCTAGGCGTGTTATTTGTCTTTATACGTCTTTAGGAAGAGATTTCCTGCATCATCTTTCTCCTTCGAAGATGGGCTCTGCTCTAGTCGGGATCCTAGGCAGAGAGAGCTGGAGCTTCTGATCTCCAGTTTCTGGTGACGAGGGTCAGAGTTTTCAAATCAAGTTCCCCACCGAAAACAGCTAAAAATGCTGGATAAAACATAAGAACTGTAGTTTTTAAAGCACTGGTGGGCTAATAAGGTATTTTGCCAAGCCAAATTAAAAGGAAAACGGTAACCTCTGGCAGTGAATGGAGCGCAGAACCCAAGTTTGCCCTGAGAGCTTTTACTAATATTAGAAAATTTGAATGTCCTATTTTAATAACGTGGAAGGGCAAACGAACAGAAATCACTATTCAAGATATGCACAGAGGGAGCGATCCCACAGTGAGCTGGGCTCCAGGAGCTGCAGTCTCAGCCTGTGCGCATGGTCTGGCATGGTCCTTGAACTGTGGGGTCTGCAGCGGTCTGGCAAAGGCAGCAGGCACTGAAGAAAAGTAACTTTACTCTCAGCCTCAAATAATTAATTTCATTCAAATACAGTTGGCATACAGTATTATATTGGTTTCAGGAATACAACATAGTGATTTGACGTTTAACTATCTTACCATGTGCTCACCACACTGAGTTTGGGAACCCATCTGTCAGCATGTAAACTTAACTGCACTATTATGGGCTGTATTTTTTCACCTCAAATAATTTTTAAAGACATTGATTCCCATACCTAAGTTAGTCACAAAAGGAAACAAGAAACTATAATCAAGAGCCAGAAAAAACCTCAGACACACAGAGACTTCCTGGAGCAGCAGTGTTCAGCCTTTTCCATCTCATGGCACCCGTAAACTAATTACTAAAATTCTGCAGCGCACTAGAAAATGTGTGTTTTGCCGATCTGACCAAAAAAAAAAAAAAAAAAAGATATAATTGTGATCCATTCATACCAGACATCTCTTGTAGTGTTGGCTGTTGTCATTTTTTTATTTGACAGTCTAAGGGAAAAGAGGTCAGTGCCCCTGACTAAATAGTGACATATTGCATGTTTTAAAAATTCTTGCAGCACACCGGTCTAAAATCACTGTCCTAGACTGTAAAACAGCTATGTTTTACAGGTCTAAAAGAAATAAAAGACAAACTTGAAAGTACCAGTAACGAATGGGAAATTACAAGAAGTGTCATAGCACCTTTGAGAAAGAACTTACTAGAACTTACAGAAAAATATAATAACTAAAATTTTATATTAGTAGATTAGACCCAGGTGAAGAGAACAGTAATATACTAGACCAAGGATCAGCAAACTTTTTCTGTAAAGAGCCAGATAGTAAACATTCTGGACTTTGAGAGACTGGTTATGTTTCCATAAAACTTGATTTACAAATACAGCAGACTGAACCTGGAACTAGAAAGTAGTTCAGATTAAGTTATCTGGACTCCATCATGGAAGATGCAAAAGAAAAGAAAAATCCTAGCGGGGGAAACCCAGCATGTATTTAATGAAAAGGAGGAGCAAGAGAAAGAATGTGTGGCAACATAAGAGAAAAAGAAATTTCCAGAACCAATAGAAAAGAGTAAGCCACAGATTTGGAAGTCCAACAAATGCCAGACAGAACATGTAAAAGGAAATTGATTCCAAGACCTATCATAGTGAAGCTGCAGAACTAGGAAGATAAAGTATTAAAAGTACTTAGAGAAAAAAGGCAGGTTACTTTCAAAAGAGCCATAGTTGGATTGACAGCTCACTTCTCAGCAGTGACACTGAAAGTCCAGAGACAGCTTGTCTACCTGGGATCTCAAAACCCAGCAGCAACTGTTGTTACAGAATGTGATCGAAGCGTTTTTCAGACAGACACTGAAAGAATTTATGCCAAGGAGGCCGATGGAAATTCTAAAGGCTATTTTTCAGGCAGAAGGAAAACTCAACCTCATTAAAATCACAGCTTTCTTAATTTTAGGGTAAAACAAGCCATGAAAGAGGGAAATTGTAGCATATTTAACCAAAAGAGTAATAGTATTCAGAAGATATAAAATACAAATCATAAAACTACACCCCCACCAAAATGGCTGAAATTGTAAAGACTGACAATACCTGTGGTGGCGAGGATGGCAGATGACTAGGAATACACACACGTTGCCTTTGGGGGTGAATTCACCTTTGAAAATTGTCTGATAGGATCAAGACTAAAGACACAAAATTCCTCTTGGTCCAGCAGATCCACTTCTAGATGTGGAAGCAGCAGAAGAAACGAGTGCCTTTGTTCAGAGGGTGTGGATTAGAATGTTCATAGCAGTTTATTCATAGCAGCTAAACACAGGAAACAATCCAAATGCTTACCAGCTGGAGATCGGGTGAGGTCGTGGTGGTGTGTTTATGCTGTGGAATACTACAGAGCCGTAAATAGAATGTACTGCCCCTGTGCAAAATAAAACGGATGCATCTCATGGGCATGGCGTTCGGTGCAAGAAGCCAGACATGAGAGCACTGTGTTGGGTCACGTTTACCTAAAGGGCCCGTATAGGCCAGAGTGAGCTGTTGTGGTAGAAGTCAGAACAGTGGTTACCCCAGGGCATTAAGCGTGGGGTACGAGGGAACCTTCTGAAGAGCTAACAATGCTAGATGTAGTGAACATTGAATGTTATAAACAATTATATGTCAAAATTCATTGAGCTCTCTATACATAAAATTCGTGAACTTAATAAAAAATGACAAAGAAAATAGGCAAAAGACTTTATTAAAAAGAGGAGTGTCGGTTGCCCAACTTCGTGAATGTACTTAATGTCACTGAACTTTACACTTAAAAATACTTAAAATGGCAAGTTTTATGTATATTTTGCAACTTCTTTTTTTTTTTTTTTTTACAAAAATTAGAAATGGGGAGAGGACAGTGAAGGACTAATAAACATATTCAAATTAATTAGTAATACAAATTGAAACCACAAAGAGATGGGGGTTATTGTTATGTGTATAGAATTTTTGTTTGGAATGACGAAAAAGTTCTAGAAGTGGATGGGGTGATGGCCGCACAACACTGGATATGGTCAGTGCTGGTGCATTGTGCTCTTAAAGACGTCAGTTTTATATTAGGTATATTTACCACAATAAAAAAATAAAGGAGATTAAAAAATTATTTCCAAAACAGAAAAAAATAGAGTCAAAAATTAAATTAACAATTACCAGTGGCCAGGCGGAGGGAGAGCTGGGGACGTAATTGTTCAGCCTCAGCTGTTACAGAATTTTGGTTGCAGTGATGAAAATGCTTTGGAAATTGATGGTGGCGATGGTTGTGCAACACTGTGACTAGAATTAACGCCACTGAGCTGTATGCTTCGAAAAGAGTAAAATCGCAAGTTTTATGTGAGAGAGAGATGTTTTCTAATTTCATAATGCAATATACCAAAAACCACTGAATTTTTTACTTTAAATCAGAGTTCTGTGGTATATGAATTATATCCCAATAAAGCTGTAAAAAAACAAAGCAAAACTGGGATCTGAAAGACTTGCATAACAGTAATTTGTTCAGTGTAAAAATCCTCCCAGTCCACCTCCCACACACGCACTTTTGCTAAGAAAGAGGAAGTAAAGGCAGGACTGGAAAACGGACGAGCTTGTTGTCCTGCAGTCTCCCTTTGCCTGGAGCTGTCGAATCCAAAGGTGAGGCTGCAGCCCAGCTGCCTCGAACCCATAGTAAGACAAATAGCATCAACTAAACCCGGAGCAAAGACAGTGAGGCTGGTGCGCCTGTTGCCATCCAACTCCACGCTTGGTGAAATCTGAGTGGCTGCCTCCGCATTTCAGGATTCAGGTGAAAGAAGGCTCTCACACGCTAGAGAAAACATTAGGCTTTCTTCAGTCACTGCGCAGCTGTTCTTTTATGTACAAAGACCAGTATGCCACCCCCCCGCAAATAATTGTGTAACATATGAAGAAACAAAAATAAAAGGGGACCTTACGGTCATATTTTGGAAATCAGCAAACAACAGCCTATAGATGATCCAGATATTGGAACTACCAGTCAAAGACTTTAGAGTAACTATTATAATCAAGGATTTATAAGAAAATAAGGGAATAGTTGATAAGGCATCTCAGGAAACAAATGGGAATTACAAAAACAAATAGAAAGTCGTGATATGTATCCGAAGATAAAATCTAGTATCTGAAATAAAAAAATGATTAGGATAACAACAGAGTGAGTACTATAGGAGAACAGAGAACTTGAAGACATGTCAACAGAAATTATCTAAAATGAAGCACAGAAACTAAAAAAAAGATAGAACATTAGTGACGTGTGCAACAGTATCAGGCAGTCCATTGCTCTGGTAATCAAAGAGTCCCAGAAAGAGAGGAGACAGAATGGGACAGAAAATTATTTGAAGAAAGTGGCCAATCTTTTTCAAATGTGTTGATACAGGCCTCCACAAATCTAAGAAACTCTGTGAACCCCAAACAGAATAAATACTAGAAAACCACAACTAGACACATCGGAGTTAACCTTCTGAAAACCAAAGGTTAAAAGAGGAAAATTTTTTAGATTTTATTTATTTTTGGAGGGAGGTGAGGGAGGGAGAAACAAAGGAAGAGAAACATCAACTGATTGTCTCTCGCACACACCCTGACGGGGGACCAAACCCACAACACAGGCTTGGTGCCCTGCCCAGAAATCAAACCCGCAGCCATTCATTTTGTGGAATGATGCCCAACTAACCGAGACGTATCAGTCAGGGCAAAAGAAGAATTTTAAAGTAAAATATCTTTGCTGCCTGGGAGGAGACCAATGGTCCTCAGCATCGATTTCGTCCCCAGGGGAAATCTCACAATCACAATATGTGGAGACATGGCCCTCATGAAGGGGGGATTCTACTAGCAGCTAGCGGGTAGAGACCGGGAACTGCCCAGCCCAAAATGTCAGGAGTGCCAGTGTTAGTGACCATTAGGTAGGTAAGGATTTCTTAGAACATAAAAGAAGATTGAAAAACCGGACTTCATTAAAATTACAAACTAATGCACATCAGGAGACTTGTTACAAAATGAAAAGGTAAGGCATAGACTGGGAGGACATATTTATAACATCAAACCAAAGGATGTCTGTCTACAATATACAGTGTGGGGCAAAAAAAGTAGGTTTGTGTTTGTGAGTACACCGGAGGTTTTATTCTTGTGTTTATTATTTTCTGTATGAACAACTGTAAACCTACTTTTGCCCCATCCTGTATAAAGAGCTCCTATGAATCAAAAATAAAAGGACAACCCAGTTTAAAAAAATAAAGTGCTTGGACAGATACTTTACGAAAGAGGATACGCAGGTAGCCGATAAACGTGAGGGAACTAGCTCAGCATCCGCGGTCGTCAGAGCAAGGCACGTTGGAACCGCAGCGGGGCACTGCAGGGCGGCCGGGCTTGGAAGAGGCCTCGAGCGGTGATTTTCCACCTTTGCGCCGGAAGAATTCTTAAAACGTGCAACACCTGACCATTTAGTCAGACCCTGGCCGCCTTTCCCTTAGCTTGTCAGATAAAACGATGACAGCAGCCAACACAATAGCCATCCAGTGTGGATGAATCAAAATTATTTTCTTTCCATCAGTCAGGAAAAAAGATACAGATTTTTTGGTGTCCCAGAGAATGTTAGCAATTAATTAGTTTGTGTGTGCCAGGAGGTGGCCGAAGGTTGAAAATCGCTGCCCTAGAGCGGCTAGATCTGTGAACGCGTTGCTGGTGGGAGTGTAACATGGCGCAGTCATTCTGGAAGATCACTTGGCAGTTCCTTAATAAGTTAAATATACACTGATTTTATGGGTTAGCAATTCCAGCCCTAGATACTTACCCGAAAGAAAAGAAAATACATGTTCGCAAAAAAGACTTCTGTCAGCATGTCCATGGCAGCTGTTCCCGACAGCCATAAACACTGGTTGCCTCGTCCAGCAGCGTGCTGCTTAGCGACAGAAAGGGAAGAGTGATTGGCAACAGCAGTTAATGGAGACGAGTATACAAGGAATATGTTGGTTCCAGCCAGGTCAGCTAGGCCAAAAAAAGAAGGAAGGAAGGAAAGGAAAGGCATCCAGACTGGAAAAGAAGAAGTAAAATTATCTGCAGAAAACGTTACCATGAAAATCCTAAGGAATCGAGTGGAAAATTGTTAGGACTAATAAGTGGGTTCAGCAAGTTTGCAGGACACAAGATCCATTTATAAAAATCAGTTATTTTACCTGTATTTGCAGTAAGCCATCTCAAAGTTAAATTAAGAAAATTTCATTTTTACTAGCATCAAAAAGTAAAAATACTTAGGAATAAATGTAACAAAAGAAGTGTAAAACACATATTCTGAATACTAGAAAGCGTTCAAAGGAATTCAAGATCATCTAAATAAATGGAAGGATGTCCCATGTTCATGGATCGAAAGATTTAATATTGTCAAAATGACAGTACTTAGCTAGTAAATTACAGAACCAGAACTATCCACACTAATCATTTCACGTAGGAATTAGTGGTAAGACAGACCGAAGTATCTCTGCTTGATAGCGAGAGTCAGCCTTGATTAGCACAGTTTAATTGCAGATTACTTGAACTACTAAGAAAAGAATAAAACAGGATGATTAATCAGGCAACATGATTTAGGTTAGATATTTAGGAAACGCCTTTCTGAAGAAGGCTTATAAACATCTCTTTTTACACCTGTTTCTCTGAATTGGGATCATGTCAGGCTCACTCACTGAGATTGGTTGAAGGGTCTCTGGTGTCTTTTTGTAAAGATGAGCCGCCAGAGACCTCTGTGTGTGTCTGTCTGTCTGTCTGTCTGTCTGTCTCTCTCTCTCTCTCTCTCTCTCTCTCTCTCTCTCTCGTATTGTCCCTCATCAGTTGTTGAACAGATCAGGTGCTTTGTCCTAGAAACCCCCTGTGGGTGCGCTGGAGGCTCCCGCCATAGCCTACTGCCAGCTCACTCCTCTGCCCTTGGCGCTTCGGGGCGGGGTGGGCTGCCTGGGTCCCGAGGCTTGATGAGACTCAGATTAGATTGTTTTTGTGTTTTTTTACACAATATTATAAGGCTGGGTCTTGAATACTAACTCACTATTTAATGATATTAAGGAAATCGTAAGGATTTTGCAGACATGACAGTGATGTATAGTTTATATTTTAGAGGTTTATGAGGGAAAATCAGTGGATGAGAGGCAGTAAAGAGGGGTATAAACTCAAGTGGCTATGAGTTAATTCTCAAGGCTGGGTGGATGGGTGTGGGGGGGGTTCATTATATGCTTCTGTCTAAATTCTGTACATGTTTGAGATTTTCCGTAAATTAAAGTGGTAAAAGCAATTGTGGCAATTAAGATAAACGGGATTTTCTCTAACCCATTTATGAGGATGTAATAGCTGTCCGTTCACTTCCACTTCAGTGACATGATCTATCCTTTCTAAGATGCCCTTTGTTTTTCAAGTTAGGTTGAGCCATCTGAAATTGTTATTTTTTCTGAGGGGCAAAACTGTCTGTACACCAGCAGTGTCCAGGATTTCAGTGTGATGCACAGAAGCCACGTAAAAAACGAGTGTTTTCTACATGCACGTACTAGTTGTCACATCTTCCTTTCAAAGTTAGTTTAGTAGTTACCAAAGCCTAGGTGGTTATGATTGGATTCGATCCCAAGTTTTAAAAAGCTGTCACTCATTATTAAATGGTAGTAAACTGTTACTGTTGGTTTTTAAAGTTGAAGAAAAGAAAAAGTGAAAGACAAGCAGGTACATGGAGTACATTGCCCTCAGGTAAAAATCAGCTTGTTTTCCAGGTAGAAAAGAGCAATGTGACCCTACCGAACGGGGGAATGATGAAAAGTGGTGTTTAGACGTAGGCAGGGCCAGAGCACGTAGATAGTCTTTCATAGAGTTTTTAAACAGGAGTGATCTGACCACCCTGGGCAAGCGTTACTCAGGCCGCTGCTGGACGCAGATGGTTAGTGAGGCAGAGCACCGAGGCGCAAAGGGAGGGGAGGGGCTTCGACCAGGGTGCGGCTGTGCGCCACCCGGGCGGTGGGAACACACAATGTTTCTGAGGGGTCCCCTGGACGTTGACATCCCCTGGAGGGATTAAATGATGTTCAAGTGCTCAGGGAGAGCCTGGCACATAGAAAGCACTCGATCGTTGGTCCGTTACTGTCGTCGTTCCCATACTGCACAGCAGCTGCTCTTTGAGCGTGTAATTGCGTTTCAGCACTGTCCTAAAGCGCGCTGCGCTCCCTTGCTCGTTCGCTCACTCAGCATTTTGAGGTGAGTGGTCTGTGATCCCATTGTACAGAGGGTGCCTTCTGCACCACCCTGCCCTCCTTGGAAGGGGGTTCCTGAAAGTTCTTAGATGCAGCGACCCATTTCTAAAAGCCCATTCTCTATGTACATGGTCAGCCAAGGAGGTTGTCTCACACTTAACTCTGATGTTAATGGTCCCTCCGACCCAGCGCTGTGGTCTTCCTCCTGGAACCAACTTCCAGACACAAATAAAGTGTGTGATAGCAGCGTGTACCCTAAGTCAGCAACATCTTCTGGATGTAAGATTTGCAAACCTAGACAGAATTCAGCGGTGGTCATCCCTTCAACAGTGGAGCTAATTTGAGCTGCTCTCTGCAGCGCTGGGAAAGTCATTATGAAGTGAGAGTACACACCTGGGGAGAAAAGACAGTCTAAGTCACTTATGAGCAGTTGCCCATGAGTTCAGCCAAAGACTAGAGGAATCAAAATAAGAGGTGCTCATAATAGCCTAGAAACGTTTTTATATGTTTTCATTTGGGGAGTCTTGAGTGGTCTATTCTCTTGCCCGTGGCCTCTGTCAGCAGAGCCCACAGGCAGCGGGAGAGAGGCATTTAGAGTGCCCACCGACCACACATCGTGTTTCAGTGGACCCCGAACATGGCCTAGCTGAGCGCCTCAGGTGTGTTGGGGGGCCCTGTGCAGAGCCCAGCCTCTGAGGTTGTGAGCGCATCCGTACGAGAACTAACCAGACCTCTCCTGCTTCCCCGCATGTGCCAGCTGAGCGCGCCTCCTGTCCGCAGACGTGGCCTGCGTGGCCAGTGGCCTCTCCTCCCATCTCGCTTCCTGCCCTTTTGTTTTTCAGCAGCCCTCATCTTCCAGTGGAAGTGTGTTTGGGTCTGGAAGCACTGCAAGAGGGGGAGGGTTCTTCAGTGGCCTTGGAGGGAAACCCAGCCAGGACGCAGCCAACAAAAACCCATTCAGCTCGACCAGCGGGGGCTTCGGGTCTACAGCCACCTCAAGTAAGTTGAGCAAGTGTTCCCAGTCCCTTCACCCCCTAATGCCACTGTCATCCTCATGGTGTTATCAGTGCTTCGGTGACAAGGGTGGAAAGGAAAGGAAAGATCTAGAAAGCCCATTTAAAATATCTACCCCAAAACAGTGTGATCTGTTTTGATCTTGTTTTTTTACTTCTGGTCTTTTAATGAGATGTCCCATATAATCACGAAAAGACATCAGAACCTCAGGGAGAGGGATGTGATGAATTAGGGTTGAAATGACTTGAAATGAATGCCAGCAGACAGCATAAAGGAGAGCAGCAGAGCAGCTGGGTGTGCGGAGGGGCACATCTGGGCTTTCACTGGTGTAGTACTCGTTTTGAATTGGATTTAAATCCAGCTGCTGTAGAGCAATGTCACCCAAAAGTTGAAGCCTGTGTGATTTCTCAGGTCTTATATTTTTATCTTCTTTCAAATGACGCTGTATCCTTCTGCTGACTAATTTTTTAAATTCATTGGTGATCTGTCTCTTCGTGGTTGGAAATGAAAGAAATGGATTTGTTTAAATCTTTAGTCCATATCCTGCTGCTGATGGGGGCTGACATGGGGAACTGGGAGCCTGTCATCTTTGTCTCAGCTTCCCTCGTTTCATGTGCTGCACAGAAGCTCGTCTCGTCTGTGGTGCTGCCCAAGGCCTTAGTGACTCGAGACTGATGTCCTACGGACAGGGCAAGCAATTCCTTGTAGTTAAGAGCAAAGCGCTCTATCCTGAGTCTCCTGGATTCACACAGATCCGTTGTTTTGATGTCATTCTCCATCTGGTAATAGAAAAAGAAAGCTCACCCTGGCTAGCGTGGCTCAGTGGATTGAGCACCAGCCTGTGAACCACCAAAAGGTTGCAGGTTTGATCCCCGGTCAGGGCACAGGCCTGGGTTGCAGGCTAGGTGCACAGTTGGTGGCGTGTGAAAGGCAACCAATCTATGTATCTCTCATACATTGATGTTTCTCTTCTTCTCTTTCTTCCTCTCATCCTCTCTCTCTAAAAGTAAATAAACAAAATCTTAAGAAAGAAAATTATGGTGGAGACATAATACCTCTTAATGTGTAATACTATGTAATCAGAAATTTTTATTCTTCAGCTTTCAGTCTGCCAGGAGGAATTTAGAACTCTAGAATGAAGGGGTCTTAGAATTCAAGTCCAATAGTTTTCATACACTGTTTCCACAGATGAACTCAGAAGCAGGGGCCAGACCCAGAGACACACCTGGTGCTCTTCCCGCCTCTTCCAGGCAGCCTGCCCAGAGCGGCAGGGCTCTGAACACGGAGTGTGAGGAGCAAGCTCAGGAGGCTCAGGTCATCTCTTTGGGGGGCTGGGTTTTAAGTCGCAGAGCTAGAAAGTGGCAGATCTGGAATTCAGCTGCATCTTGCATAATGTACCAAACAGCATCTGGCACAGAATAGGCACTTGATAACACACCAGTTACAAGGGTGGGTTTACACCATGGGTTGGCTCTCATCTGTGAGATTGTGTTACTGGCCTGTTTTGTTAAAACTTAGGCGTGTCCTGTCCTTGTAAAAATTCCTTCCCTCTGGCTGGTTGACTTTTAACGCCATGGCTCTTACCTGTCGGAGGATTGCTGCCTTCTCTCCCTGGTGGGCTGGGACTGCGCGCGCGAGCCTGCCGTGCCCATCACCCCCAGTTCCATGCTCAGGGACGGCAGGGGACTTTTATTGACACCGCACACACTGGACAGTGCTCTCCCCCAGCCTGTTCACTGGTGCGCCATTGTTTCTAATGCTTTAATTCTGGTTTAAAGTAAACACATCTATTCTTGATACCAGACACCTGCTGGTCTTCAGCTCTTAGACGCTGGCAGCTGTTACGCAGCCATTTACTTGTATGCCTCAGGGGAGTTTAAGAGAATTTTAAAAGGTACAGGAAAGACTTAACCTTTTTTTTGTTTTTAAAAACTGTATAATTTGATGGTGAGAGGGACTGGAGCCTCTGTAGCCCCAAGGACCAAGAACAGGACAAGAGGGAGAAACAGTGGAGAAGAAGGAGCTAGAGTGACCTGGGGAGGGCCTCATCCGGGCCACAGGGCTAAGGACGCTGTCTGTACATCACCAGGAGCAGCCTCTCCCTCCTTGGGCGACTCTGCAGCATCTGTAACTTGGGAGCGCCACTCCTTTCCTGGGCTGTGTGGCATGGCACTCTGGGTCCTCTTCCTACCTCTCAGTCCCGCCCCTCTTCTGCTGTTTCCTGTCATTGTCGGGGGGGTGTCCATCACCATCTGTGGGTTACAGTAGCCTCTAGCCGCCTCCACAGTGGTCTGAAAATCCACACCAAATTGAGTGGCTTGAGACTCCGCTTTTATTTTTCCACTATTTCTTCTCAAAACCCTTTGGCAGCTTCCCCCTGACTAGCATAACATCCAGCTCCCTAGGCCAAAATCCAGGGCCCTTCATGAGCTGTCCCCAAAATTCTTTTCTGGCATGGCCCCGTGGCTCAGCGGCTGGAGCATTGTCCCAGAGACCAGAAAGGCTGTGTGTTTGATTCCCAGTCGGGGCACGTGTGGGAGGCAACCAGTCAGTGTCTGTATCTCCGTCTCTCTTTTCCCTGTCCTTCCATTCCTCCCCCCACTCCTGTCAATAAACACATCCTCAGGGGAGAATTAAAAAAAAACTATTCTGACTTTGACTCAGTTTCCCCAGCACCCTCTCCCTGCTCCAGTACCAAGGCCCACACTGCTTCCCCCCACCCCGCCCCAGACCTGCCCCTCCTTCCAAGGCAGATGTCAGTCTCCCCTCTGTGCAGCGTGGCCTTGGGGTCACTCGGGCCGACAGTGACTCCCCCATCTGGAGTCCTGTGGCTCTGTGCTCTGTTCCCTGATGAGACCTGGGACGGAGGGGCAGTGGCCTCTGTTTGTTGATTGCCTACTGTGTGCCGGATGCTCAGCGTATGTGGTCTGACCCCTTCTTACAGCAGCATTGTCAGATGTGGCCATCCCCATTTTATCAATAAGGACAGAAGAGGGATGTGGACTCGGGGGCAACAGCCATTGAGTGGCGCGGCCAGAGTCTAACCTGGGTGTGTTTCCAGCACTCCGCTCACCCATGGTGCCTCCCGAGATCTTCCTGGCTTCTCAGTGTGACGTCACTCCTCCCAGGTGTGTCTGTGACAGCCCTGTGCGTGTTCCTCACGGCCGCGCACGTTCCCCCTTGCAGACACCTGCCTGAGCGCCAGCCTGGCCGCTGGCCATTCCCCTTGTGATATCCAGGCCCAGGCGGCCAGGTCCCAAGGCTGCCCCCCCTCAGCCCTAAGGAGTCACCGGAACTAAGCGAAGCCCAGGAAGGACAAGCTGCATGCACTGTTGCTCGGGGTCGGTGTGCTGTGTGCGCAGGCTCATACTTCGTAAAGGTTTCTTCCGTCTTCTCCAGAAACAACGCCGAGATACACTGTGATCCCCCAGGGGTCCTTTAAAATCAGCACCGCAGTTAACTGTTAGCTGTAAGGACCTACCACCTCCTCGAGTCTCGTCTGAGGACGCCCTCTGGAACTATTCTCAGCACATTTCTCTCCATCCAGGGGCCTAAAAGACGTGTGTGTGAGGGTGAAGAAGCCATTTGATGAGACTCCTCTGGGCTCCCAGGGCTCCCTCTACAGCTGTGTTTGTACGAAGCTGTCTTGGAAAGTGTCCTGGGCAGGTGCTGCTTGAGAATCCCTGTCCCAGTCCGCGTTGAGTTCTCGTCCAGTGACTTGAGACCTGCAGGATGACATGGGACCTGGCCTCTGCAATTGTATTCACAGGATGATGTTAGCTGGTGCCCGCATCTTTGCTGAATAAAAGACCCAAGAGGATCGTTGTGTCAGTGTCCCCAGCACCGTCACCCAGAGGGGAGGCGTCAGATGGCACCACAGAGACAAGTTTTCTTACTGGCCAGCTCACTCAGGGGACTCTTGTACAATGAAATACTGTTCCAGCCACCAGGAGAGTTCCTTTGCCGTATTTTCAAGACCAGGAGTCTTGTTACTTGGGAGCCATCAGAAGACAGCCGGGACACACGTGGGCCGTAGAAACAGAGAAGCGGACAGTGTCCGCTGCCACTTTGGTTCAGAGCAACTGAAATCAATCCTAAAACATCTCCGTATGCTGGGCTCCTTTTTAAGACTGCAGATGACAGCTGTTGAAACTTGAATAGCTGCATTCCCACCGTCCTCGCAAAATGGGAAGGATGTGATTTTTCTGCAGCTGACCTACTCCATGTTTTATTACATGATAGGGACAAGGCCGGAGGAAGAGTCAGAGAAACAGAGGGGAAGTTGTGTCTCCTGAGGACCTACCACACGCCTGACACGGTGCCCTGCGCGTGCTCTCTCACTCACTGCCCACGGCAGGTCTGCGTGCTCACCGCTGCCGGCCCCACTTCGCAGGTGCAGGACCAGGGACTTGGCAAGGCCACGCCCTTGCTCAGCATCCTGGTCCTTATAATGTTCTGTGACCATCTTAAACACAAAGGATTCTTAAAGAGATAAAGGGATAAAGAGGCCCAAGGACTTCTAACTGTTCTCTGGCCTCTCAGGAAGTTAAGTCTCCCAACATGGTCTAGTAAAATCACCTCACCTCTGTATTCTGAATTTCTCCAAGAGGCGATCTAGCCCTAGTCGTGCATGTGACTTTGCTGTTTGAAATTTTGCATTGTTAGCACTAAGTCAGAAAATTGTAGTCTCCTGTTCTAGAAACACCAGGTTAGAGGAGTGACTGAGAAGCCTGGCTGCGTCTCCAATGTCAAAAGTGGATGGCCACTGAAGGATTCAGAGGTGGCCTCCAGCTGGCTCATCGAGGGAAAGACCAGGCTGTTCAGGGGGGCACCCCCAGAGGGAATGATCCCCAAAACAAAGGCCAGCCCTGCTGCTCGGGCCAGGCACACCATGGCCAGGCCCTCACATGGCCAGCAGAAGTCTGAGAGAGCAGGTGACCATGTGGCAGTCTGAGGCTCTGTGACGTTGCGCCTGGAGGTTGGAGGTGAGCGTGCCCCCGAGGTAAGGCCGCTCACTTCCTGGACTGTGGATCAAGCACTGCACCCGCAGTGCTAACAGGCGCGTCTCGCACATGTGGCATCCGCAGCAGAAGGCGGGGTGCGGGGGGCCTTGGTGTTGGCAGGTTAGTGGTGGACCGGCTGCCTCTTCAGACAGCCTGACTGACAATGAGTGACCCTCTCGACCCCTTCCCTCCCTCCCTCCCCCTTCACCGTGAGCACCTGGCTGGGGGTGGCCTGGCCGCCTGCTCCACGCCTGCATGGAAACGCACGCGCGCGTGCGCGCGCCCCCCCCCACCCCGCCCAACTGGTGCTTGTCCCAACGTCCTCCCAGCTGCGCCTCCATCTTCAGGCATCAACCGGTGTCAGGCTAGAGCCTCCCTGCCTCCTGCGCACACAAACTCATTTTAATGAAAACACCCACCCCTATGTGGTCGGGGAAACAAACACTTGTCACCCATCTAACACTTGTCACCCATCTCTGTGTTAGCAGTTGGTTTCCTTTCATTGTTGGAGTGGATTCAGTGTGTATTTGAAGGAGTGACCCATAGATATGCATCTGAAAGGTCAGGAGCTTAAGTGAACTTCTTAGAAAGAGGAAATCAAACTGGAAGTCCTGCTGGCCTCTTTTCCCTCCTGAGAACACACCAGGCTCCCATAGGCTCAGGCCGGCGGCCCGCCGTGTGTGTCTGCCCGTTCTCCGAGCAGCCAGGCCGTGAGCGCATGCCAGACGTGGCTGTAAAAGCAGAGTGCCAGGAGCCAGCATGCGTGGTTTGCATTTGCTCTAACGTTATTCTGTCAGGTTTGAAGTCAGTCTTGATGAGGAGGCGGGTGAAAACAAGCTACACTCTTCAGGAGAAACGGTCTTGGAGGGAAGCCGCCCTGCCGGTCCTGGGCGGTGGGCAGGCCTCCCGCCTGCGGCAGCGCGGATAGACTTCTGCAAAGAAGCCCTCTTGCCGGGACCTGCTGCTGCCCCTTTACTCCGTGCCTGTAGATTTGTGTCAGGAAATCCTGAGCCCGGATCCCAAAGTGATTAAATGCTGGTCCTCAAGGTACAGGCAGATCAGAGAAGGTGTCCGTTTCTCTTCCACTCTGCTCCCTGGAACCCTGGACTCCCTTGTCACTTCTCCCAAATCCCCAGCTGAGGGTTCTTCCTCCTCTGTCCTCAGAAGTAAACAAGGACAGTTTCCTCCTTTACACGTGCCTTTCATCTCCTCAGATACCTCAAACCTGTTCGGAAACAGTGGGGCCAAGACATTTGGAGGCTTTGCCAGCTCGTCGTTTGGAGAGCAGAAACCCACAGGCACCTTCAGCTCTGGAGGAGGAAGTGTGGCGTCCCAGGGCTTCGGGTTTTCCGCACCCACTAAAGCAGGTACCGGCCTTTGTATCGGCCGTGGCTCTTTCTGTGTGTGGTCGTGCACACAGCTGTCTGGGAGGAGGCGCCACTCGGTGGCTCTTGGGGGAGGAGGGCTGGAGTGTGGATGACATGACCCCCCCCCAATACTTCCCGAGTGACCACAGCGTGCCTCACGCTGGTCTGGGTCTCCTGAGACATGCTAGAAGCACAGAATGCATGTAACGTAACCCTGAGGAGAGCTGCAAGAGCCGCCTTAGGGAAGAAAACGGGTATGTTTAGCAACTGCAGAACCAAAGTAAGGGAGCACATAAGACAGATTGTTTACTTTCTTGTGTCTATATCATTTGCCTTTGCCAAATCACTTTTTTTTTTTTGCTTTTGGTTGACTATAGTAAACATAAATATATTAGATACACATGCACGTATATAATACCCAAGTACTCACACATCATAAGTATACAGCGCAATTAGCCTCCGCAGTCGGAATGTGCCCATGGAGTCAAGAATGAAGAGCATTGCCGGCCCTCCTTTTCCTCCCAGCAGCAGTTTTAGAGTATTCCTGGACTGTGACTTTATAATGATGTATCACATTGGAATTAAAGTTTTTAAAGGACATGTTCAGACACAGAAACGTACTTCATTCCTGTCATCTGCCTCTGTCCCATTTCTGTCTGAGATCAGAGGTCTGCCTTCCCATCCCTGTTGCATGGACAGTTCTGTGAAAGGGGTTTTTGTTGTTGTTGTTGTTGTTGTTATTTTTTACAAGGGGGCAGAAGGGGGATGTTTGCTGAGAAAGCAGCTCTTTCAAGCAGGCTCTCCACAGGCAGGCGGCTGGACACCCCTCCCCGGCTCAGGTGTGTGGGAGACTGAAGTTCTGCAAATGCTGGAGGAAGGCTCCCACCTGGAGGAAGGGGCCATGCATAGGCGGCTCTGACTCAGGACCGCCCCAAATTAGCATCAGGAAGCCACCTTTCAAAGCCCAAAGTGCTACAGTTTCCAAGTATACAGTGCACGTTTCCTCAGACCTGTGACCTGGCTGGGTTAATCTTTGGTTGCCAGTTTTTGATGCTTTTTCCCTAGAATTTAAAATGGATGAGAAATGGTCATTGCAGCTTTATTTTGGCCCAACCTGCCTTGCAGTGAATGATTTAAAAGCTCTCATTCCTTGTTAACAAGGCAAATACTACTTTACTAAGAGATTTTAGTTCATTAATCGTCAAGACTGTTTTCTTAAGGAACCTGATAATGTTTTCTTTGACTCGTGTGTTTATCTTCTATGTTGTTCCTTATCCTGGGATCATGTCCCAATTGATTTGAGAACCTGATGCTTTTAATTTTCCATCTTAGAGAAAATGTACCTCCCTTTCAGAATATTTTTCTTATTTGATTATGTGCCCCATGAAACCACCAAGTTTGAGGACTCGAACGGAGAAAACTCCCTGGCCAGTACACGAGATGGATGAACTGGCAACGGGACAGGCGACAGTGGGGGCAGATGTGTCCCCAGAACTCTGTCCGCGGGGCTGTGTCGCCCTGCCAGGCATGGCGGCAGCCAGCCTGCCCAGGCAGCAGGGGGCCAAGGCATCGGGATTGGTTCTCTCGGCTCTAAGGGCGACTTGAGACTGAGGGTTCGGGTGGGTCTTTGAAAAATTCCAGAAGTGTCCATCCTCCCTCAGCACAAGTGCATTAGGAGATTATACTGCTGGAGGTTAATGGAGGAGAGAACATGAGGAGGGACACGCTGGAAGTGGCCTTGCTGCCGTCCGGTCCGCTGGGCTCACCCCCGCTCTGTTGCTGCAGTTGCCGTGGCAGTGGAGGAAGGAGGGTGACACACAGCGGCTAGGTGAGAGGTGGCCCTTTGCCCCAGCTCTGAGTGTGGACAAGGGAGCCAGCTCCAGGCCTGAACGTCCTCGCCTGTGGAGCGGGGATCCCAGGGTCACAGGGAGGGCTCGAGCAGACTGTTCCACAGCACCTGGCACGTGAAGGGCCCTCAGCAAATCAGATATTTTAGGGTCATTGGTTATTAGAACATCTTTTTTGTACTAAATCGGAGAAGAGAATCATGAAGATACAGCATGTAATAAAATCGAGCCCCTTCTAGCATCGAGGGCGAGCTGCTGTCTGCAGAAATAAGACCAGAGGAGCTGCCTCTTCCTGTTGCACTTGGCTGTGACCCAGGTCTGTGCGGGGCATCGTGTGCGCACGTGTGTGCGCGGCTTCACTCTCTCCCCGTCCGCTTCACTTTCTGTGTCATTGTGACTTCTCGGTTTTCACTCGCCCTCCACCGAGCGGCCTGAGTACGGGGGAGGGCCCAGCACTAGAGAGCCCCGAGTGTCTAGAAAGAAAGGGTAACTAGATCTGGGATCAGGCTTAAATAATTCACCTGCGAGGGGGTTTAGCGCTTTTTTTTTTTTCCAGTCTGTTATATTTGTAACCCAACAGTCCCTATTATGCATAGCTTGGAATTTCACTCAGGGTTTTAAAATACAGGCTGTTAACCCAAACATGAGCCTCAGCAGAAAGCACCTTCTCCGTGGTGCATGCACCACGCATGGTCCAGCAGCCGACCCCGGGGTCATGCCAGCGGTTAACGAGACAGGCCGCTGCCATGCCCTCCTTGTTCAGGGGCCACAGTGGTGGCCGGCTGAGGCTTCTCACGAGAGGGCCCAGTGGGTCCTCCCCGCAGGCTTCACTTCCTGAAAGTGAAGGGCAGGAAGAACATCCCCTTGGGCTAAGGCCTTGCTTGTGCCCAGGCTGCCCCCTGCCCTTCCGCATGTAGCTCCTAGGCCAGGCCTCATTTTAGGAAATACTTCCCCTTAGAGCACATTTCTTATACTGTTGGTCCCATTTCGTTCAACAGACACTGAGGCTCTCTGCCGATAGCCTAGAATGATTGAAACAGGATCTGGAGGTTTGGGGACCCTCCTCGGGAACAGAAGGGACAGCCAGAGACAGACGGTCTGTCCTCCCGCCCACCAGGCACCTCGGCCAGGCAGAGCCGGCCGCCCCGTGCGCACGTGAGCAGCAGGCTGAGAGCCTGCAGGCGCCTTGGCCTTGGCCTCCCCACGGCCGACAGGTGGTGTGATCACGTGCGCACATAGTTTTATCACAGAGCAGAGACTCAGTGCCTTCTTACTGAGGAGGAGGAGTCCCTGCCTGCAGAGAAGAAGCATTTAAAAAAATTCTCCTGGACAGAGAGAGAGAGAGAAGGAAAGGCTGTGGTGAGAGACATGAGCCGTTAGCTTTAAATAAATAAAAAGCGCCTGGCGGAGCGCCAGTAGGGAGCAGCTCTCCCTCTCATCCGTGACCCAGTCCACAGGGCTCTTGAGAGGTGCTCCGAGCTTCCCGTGTCATCCTGTGGGTTTCCGTGACGTGACGCCTTGCCTGCGTGGTGATGAGCACTAAAGTCTGTCTGTCATCTTTGACAGCTGCACAGGAATTGGAGCTTTTGAGAATGATTTTACAGTGAGCAATCACAAAACAGTGCAGCAGGGCCGGGAGGGGACCCGGAATGCACCAAGCTGCCTCCTGGTGACAATCTGACTTGACAAGGCTTGGTGCTGGCAGGTCCAGCTCACCTCTGGGAGGGCGTAGGGATCTCCCAGACGAAGGCGGGTCTACTGTGTTCTCACAGTCCCAAGGGGCTGTCTCCCGAGCGGAGCCCAGACCTTGACTAGACCTGGAACACGGGCGGTTTGGTGGTTGGGTTTGCTTGGGTTTTCATTATTTTGCTGATACAAGGGGTGTAGGCCCTTGTCAGAGTTGTGGGTTTCTAACATATTTTCCCTTTTTTCCTTCCTCTTTTGATTTGGTTTCTCACTGCTCATTGTCTTCTCTTCCTGTCTCCTTCCTTTCTCCCTGTTTCTGTTTGTTTGCCTCTGTTTTGCTCAGGTGGCTTCGGTGCTGCTCCAGTGTTTGGCAGCCCTCCTACTTTTGGGGGATCCCCTGGGTTTGGAGGGGTGCCAGCATTCGGTGCAGCCCCAGCCTTTACAAGCCCTCTGGGCTCGACGGGAGGCAAAGTGTTCGGAGAGGGCACTGCGGCTGCCAGCGCAGGAGGATTCGGGTAAGACCCCGGGGAGGGGCCTGCGGCCGGCCTGGTGGTTTGAAAAGGAAGTTCTTCCATTTTCCCTGCTCTTGACCATGAGCCCTGTCAAAATCAGCAAACAAGCCGTTCCAGGATTCCTCTGCTCCTGGGGGGAAAGGCTCGGTTCTTCGGGCCAGACTCCGTCAGGTCCACGAGGGGACATCAGCCATGTTGCTGTCCCTGGTGTGGACAGTACCAATGGGCAGAGCCATGTTCTCCAGCTGGAATGAAAAGTTTGGTTAAAGGAAGAAAAACAGTTCTTCCTTGGCTCCTTTGCCACCAATTTTGTCCCTTATGTTGTCACTTCTGCTAGGAAATTCTGAATTAATAGTTCACACCAGGTTCTTTCCTCTCAGTCACCGCGCATGAGATCACTGTCCTTGAACAAGCCACTCCTGTGCCCCTCCTCCACCCCAGACCCCCAGAGAGGGTATTTGGTCCCTGGTCCCTCGGGCTGGCTTCCGTACTGGGCGCTTGTGGGGCCCCCCGCCACGGGAGAGTCGATGGCCGCCCAGCTTTCGCAGCCCATCTTACAGCCATGTGCCCGTCCCCACTTGAAAGTTCCATGTTAGGCATCGGCTCTCACGGGCCCCAGCCGCTCAGTCTAGCTGCCAGATCCCTGAGGGGAAAAGAGCTCTCGCCACACCACGGAGTCCCGACAAAGCACACATGGTCTGCCGTCAAGTGCCTCGCTCGGAGGAGGTGTTGGCGTCGGACACGAACGTCCAACTGGCCTCTTGTCCTCGGCACTGGCTCGGGACATGAAAAGCTAAAAATTAGGGAAAGAGGGTTTATTTTGGGGAATGGCCAAGGTACTGGGATGAGTCTGGGTGAGGCGATACCATTTTCTCAAAAAGAAGCTCATGCTCTTACACACGCCCGCTCCCCCCGCAGAAGCACCTGAGGCAGAGGAGCCAGCAAGCTTCAAGAAGAGCGAGCCGGTCTCTGTGGTGCTTCTCGGGTTTATGTAGAGTGACGGGCCTTTTAAGTTCCCCCCAGGATCCCCAAGGAGTCAAGTCAAGAAAAGCTTTTAAAGGCGCACTGGGACTGATGCCTGACACCAGTGGTGTTGGCAGGGTTTGGGGACACTGAGCGGCCCCGCCCCCCAGTGCAGGGCACGGCTGTGGCTGGAGGGTTCATGTTGATGGGGAACCTTGAGGGGTCGTGCACCCACTGCCCTTGCTGCCGCGGAGGGGCTCTCCCCGGGAGGCCTGGCTGGGGACGCCTGGCATGACACCTCCGCAGAGCCCGCCATCCCCCTGGTCAGGCCCCTGGCCTCTGACCCCGCACACATCTGAGGAGCTCCCCCCAGCGTGATCTGGGGGAGGCCTGAGGTGGGAGCAGCAGGGCCGCGCCGGTCAGTGGCGTGTAGATGACACCCTGCCTGCACTTGGAGAGTCAATAGATCGCAGCCCAGAGAGGAGATGGATAAATGGGGTGGAGGGTTGTCGATAGATGAGAGATACTGAAATGGCAAAGTTCAAGAATTATTGGAGACAGAAAGAGAAAAAATGTAGTACCGCTCAATGTCCAAGCCCGTGGACAAAGCTACCACGCTGCATAAGCTGGATTTCAGGCTGCCGTCCTGTTACTTGGCTTCCCAGCGCGGAGATGGCTTGCTCGGGCGCTGGCCTGTTCCCTCCGAGAGGCTGCCGGTCGGACGGGGCCTGTCCCTCTATGCGCGTCTATCGTGCAGTCAGCCGCGCTAACCACGCCGTGTCTCGTTGCACCAGGTTTGGGAGCAGCAGCAACACCACGTCTTTTGGGACCCTCGCCAGTCAGAACGCACCGACGTTTGGATCGCTGTCCCAGCAGACCTCGGGGTTCGGCACGCAGAGTGGGGGGTTCTCTGGCTTTGGATCAGGCACAGGAGGTAGGCGGACCTCCCTCCCTCACAGTGGTCCCCGTGCCTTCTCCTCCGCGAGCACCCCACCCCCACCCCACCAAGGACATGAATGGTGTCTCCCTGGGGTGCTCAGGGTATTGTTCTCACAGCTGAAAGTGCTTGAAGGACAAACTGTTCAGTACAGATTTTAATCAGACTTGTAACATTATGCCACTTCTTACCAAGTAAATGACTGACTGGGTTTTTTTCTCAAGGTTTGAGAACCCAAAATAATCATCTTACTACATCTTGGTTTAAAAATCCAAGCCAGCAGACAAAACACAAAGATGTACAAGCTTCATGAAAGGTCTTTCATTTGTTTAACACTGACTGTTCAGATAGCAGAGCATATATGTTCTGTTTCTATCTTTACAACACACTTCTGAGGCACAGAAGTTGGGCATCGTTGCTGTTGTACAAATGGGGGCGCACGTGCTCCAAGAGGCCCATTGGTGCAAAGGTGCCGGCAGTGAGCAGCGGAGCTGGGACCCAACCCTGGCTCCTGCTTCTCTGGCCTCAAGAAGAGGAGGGAGCAGGTGGGGGATGGGGGGAGTAGAGAAAACACGTTTTCCTAGCAAAATGGGTGTGCGTTGCCCCATGAAGCTCAGTGAGAGGGGCCAGGCCAGAGACCATCCGCCGCCTCCCGCAGAGAGGAGGGAAGGGCCCTGCGGAGCTGAAGGCAGCTCACTCTCTGTGCGGCCTGCGGGAGGGCTGCCGTGGGGCCTGCAGGGCGAGGGGGGCTGGCCTCGGCCTGCCCGTCTGTCAAGTGCATGTGTGTGTTAACTTCAGCCTTTTCATCTCTTCCAGGATTCAGCTTTGGAGCCTCTAATTCGTGAGTATCTCCCGTGGGGAGTCATTGCGTAACAGTGATGGGCGGGATGTGAAAGCATTGGACGGCTAATTCTTGCTTTGTTTGGACATTCTTCCTGTTTCGAAAGCTTGTCCTGGAAGCCTGGGGGCTCCAGGACAGGTTTGGGGGTTTGTGGCTTTGCTGACCTCAGCAGGCAAGTGGCAGGCAGTGCCAGGCCTGGCTCCTGCAGGGCCACTCAGGAGAGGGACAGGCCTCCCAGTCGGCAGCCTTTCCACTGGCCCCTGGGCCAGTCTTAGTGTTTGGTCGCCACGCAGTTGTATGACAGTAAACATACAGAGCCTGGAGTTTGCGCTCAGGCAGCTGCTGAGCCCGGAAGCTGATCTGCCTCTTCCCCGGCACTTCCTTGCAGGTCTGTCCAGGGCTTTGGTGGCTGGAGAAGCTGAGCGGATGTCGTGTTCCGTTCAGTCCCTGTGCCCAGCTGCCTCCTCAGCTCCCCTTCACTGAGAAGCGCTGAAGGAGCCCTTGCACGTGGACACTCTGACACCCCAGAGAGAAGCAGCAGGACCAGAGCCAGCAGATGCTTCTAGGTTGTTCCCCCTCCGCGCCTGCTATTAAACCGTTTGGTTTGTTTGCATACAAAATGTGAGTGGGTTTTCCAGGTCACCCCAAGGAGAGAGGGTTCCTCATCTCCCTGACCTTGAGGAACCTGTACGTCCGTCCCTGGCCACCAGCGGACATCCTCAAAGACGAGGACAGGGTGACGGCGCACAGCCTCCCTGTCTTCTTGGGCCTAGGGCTCTCCACAGGGGAAGGGACCGAGTGCAGGCTTGTCGCCTCACGAATGGTATCAGGACCCTCTCGGTGCCGACTGCGGGTGGGGTGGAGGGGAAGAAACACTCGCGCAGCCCTTGGTGCAGTTTCGGGAGAGGCAGCAGCGCCTCCGGGTTTAGGTGGCTGCGAGGCAGACGGGAAAACGACCAGTGCGCACCGAGGACGGGGCGTCTGTCCTCAGAACAGGCCCAGCTCACCTCCTCGTGCGGCCCTGGGCGCCGTGTGTGCCGCAGGCGACTCCTGCTCTGGAGAGGGGGTGGGCAGTTGATTGAGAAGACAGCCTCTGTCTCCAGTAGGGGACACCACGCTGGCAGTCGCACCTGGCCTTCTGTTCACCACGGGACAGAGGACCCTGCTAGGCCCAGGGGCTGAGGAGACACTGCCGCTTCCCGACCGCATGGCAGCGTTGACCAGGCTGGCCTCGAGCTCAGGGCGTCGGACTCACCGACACGCCTGACACACGGGACCTCAGGTCGGGCCTCTTCAGTTTCTTAGGATGTTGACGTGACAGTTGCTGACAGGTGAGGGCAGCCTCACATGCAGAGTGGGTGGCGTGGGAATTAGTCCAGCCCAGCATGTGCCTGTTGCATCAGCTTGGGCCGGAGCACTGCTGGGAGTTAGACGCCCTGGGAAGTTGTATCCTGAGATGCTTTAGTAACAGTTTTCCCTGTGATTGCTGCCGGGGGGGACGGGTCTCCCTGAGGCCCCTGTGCTGCAGCCAGGCCTGCTGGGCCGGTGCCCGTCACGGAGCCCCCGTCCTGTGGCTTCGGATCACGCGAAGTCAAATTGGGCGTCGAGGTCCGTGCCCTCTCCGCACGTGTAAAGGGAAGTGTGAGGAGGCAGCTGGGCTTTTGGACCCCTGCACCAGAGCGAGATCCACAGGCACCCGGGCAGCTTGCCCTCTCTGGGGGCTTAGGAGAGGGAGCAAGGTCTGTCCGTATGGGTGGCAGTCCCTTTCAGGGAGCTGTGGTCCTGGCGGGACTGGAGAGCCTGTCTCCACCTGTGCTCCCGGGAGGCCCCGCCCCGGAGTCGGGACAGGCCCCGAGACGTGCACACAGCCAGCCTCAGGGCCTGTCCTGCCACAGAAGGGCCTTAGGTTCTATACAGGCCCGTCTCAAGACAAAGGAACTTGAATTTTAATGGGAAGAGCTCTTGACAGGGTGCCTCGCTTTCAAGGGGGCCACGTGACCAGTGACTTCTGCCTCGGCGTGTCATCCTGTCAGCCGTCACGCCGACCTGCCGACCCGGCCAGTCTCCTGCTTGGCTGTTTTCCCAGAAGCTCTTTTTTATAAATAGAAGCCAGTTTGGCCCAAACCCTTGACCTCAAATTCCCTGTCTCCGCCCTCTGTGGAGGTGGCAGGTGGCGTCTCTCCAGGGGGCCCTATCAGCTGTGCTGGGCCAGATAGCGCCCCCCACGCCCCGGCAGCAGCCACCCTAGGGAATGCAGTGCCGGCGCAGCAGCCCCTCGTGGCTCCTTTTTTGGGGTCAGTCACACTGGTAGGTGGCAGGGGTCATCTCAGAGCGCAGCCAGAATGCAGCCCCTGAAAGCCAGGCTCCAGCATTTAGTGACATGAGGCTGGGACTGCGTGGCGGCTCCAGCTGCCAGGGGAGAGGCGGTGGGGCGGGAGCCCCGCCTGGGAGGCGGGCCAAGCGACCGACCTGGGGGCACGCTCCCACCAAGTCCCGGCCCGGGAGGGCCCCCAGCCCTCAGGGTGGCTGCAGTGGCAGGTGGGTAGTCACAGCCCGCCTCCCATGCGCCTGCTTGTGAAACTCGGGAAAGGCGGGAAGGAAAGGGGGAGACGGCTGAACGAGCTGGGTTGTGTTTTGCTTGGCTCTTCCAGGCGTACAGGCCAAGTGCTCCCAATTACCGGTGCTTCCGATGGCAGCACAGTGCTGGAGGCCATGAATTGGGCTTCTCAGGGACAGGAAGAACCCACATGACACAGCGGGTGTGTTCGTGTCCGCTTTGTGCTGACACACCTGAGCGGTGGTCCCCTTGGCGCCACCCTGCCCGGCCCCAGGATCGGCCTGCTGCCCGCCTTCAGCTTTGCTCTCTGTCCCTGGAGGGCCTGGCCCGTCCAGACCCGGACCCTCACCGGCTCTGGGCCCAGAACCAGGCGCGGGGCCGCCTCGTGCCAGGAGGGCTTTCCCCTCAGTGGTAAATGGAGGTGGGACCGCCCTTCCGCTGTGTTTGTGAGGGCGAGAGGGGGTGGTGCACGCAGAGCACCTGGCTCCAAGGAGGTTCTCATTAATCGGACGTTCCCACCTTCCAGGGCCCGGCCCCGGCGTGAGCAGCCCACCTGCTCACGGCACCGAGCGCAGGGGGTAGGGGCCGACACGCTCTCACGGGAGGGCTCAGCTTTGAGACTCTGATTCAGCAGAGCTGGGTTGGGCCCTGAAATCTGCTTTTGATAAGCTCTACAGGTGGTCCCTGGACCACATTTTGAGAAAGGTTTTAACTGTGTCACTAGGAATATTATCCCCCAGCACATGAAGGAGAGTCTGATTCCCATGGACATACTTATTTTGTCAGTAAACCAGGTAAGTGAGCTTCCTGAAATTGTTAATGACAGGCAGCAAGTTTAATTTCAGCTGCTCTTTGGGCACCTGCCTGAAAAATATGAAAACACAGGTGGGCCGTCACTGGCCCATCCAGATAACTTCTGAACCCCGCTTCCAGGGAGGCCCCCGCCCTCCGGGCAGCCCTTCACAGCGAGCCTACAGGAGCCGCGGCCGTGTCCCTGCGTCCTGCCGAGCTTGACGCCCCGTCTTGTCTTCTCTCCCGCTTCGGCTGCGCGTGGCCTCCCGTCCACAGCCTCTTGCAGAACACGGACAGGCGCTCCTGAGCACCAGCTGGCTCCCCCGCTCCTCGTTCCTGTGGGGCTGGACGTCTTCCCCGTGCCCCCGTGGGAGCGGGCGCAGGCGGGCTGAGGTGCTGGTGGCCCCACACTCGTGCTGTGTTCACAGTGTCTCCTGTGTGAACTTTATCCTCAGCCAGAGCCAGAGGCTCCCTGGTCACCTAGGTGGGGGCAGGCACAGACGGGACAAAATCTAAGAGCTCTCTATTGGAGACTCTCGAATCTTTAACATTCTCATCTGCTTTGTAAATGAGTAATGTGAAATAGCCTGCCTTTTCCCCATCTTCTTGACCTGGGAACCAACCATTCCACTGGCACTCAGTTCCTTGGAACTCATTCTGGGAACAGCTTCATTGCCAGTGTCGCCAAACAAAAGCACCCCTACCTCCCGCAGGCGGTGTCTGACATTCCTTCTTGCGCAGTCAGCCCTTGAACCGCGCAGGCGTGAGCTGCGCAGGTCCTCTTGCCTGGATTTAAGCGGACCCTGCCCTTCAGGCCCCTGTAAGGGTCAGCTGTGTTTTTGAGCCTCGATTGGGAATCCGCGTACCTAGAGGACTCAACTTCCGTTGTGGCAGGTGGTCAGCACCCCTGCCCCCCCGCGTTGTTCAAGGGTCGGCTCTTCCATTATAATAGCAGCAGCATTTGCTAGATGGTACTGGGTGTCAGGCAGTCTGTCCTGAGCGCTTCATGGACGTTTTCACATTCGTCCCACGGGCTGGACACCCTGACCCTCGTCTCCTGGCGAGAACGTGAGGCTGAGAGCAGCAGTGAGTGCCGAGAGCACGGCCAGTCCTCGCTACACGGCCGTCACGGCGGCCCTGCACGGCAGGCCGGCCTTCGGCGCAGACCCAGTGGACGTTCTGCCCACCGTGCACTTGGTGACTCGTCCCCATTCTGCTGGCTCCCACCTTGTCCGCGATCATCCGTCCACACCGCCACCCTGGGGAGGCGCAGCCAGGCCGAGTGCAGCCTGGTGCCCCGCAGCACCACAGGCGGGCCTGCTGGCCGCTGCCTGGTGAGGGCAGTCGGGGCGGAGGAAGCAGCTGGCTCCACGCCCTTCTGCCATGTAATCTCCTCCTTCCTCTGCTGTCTCTTCCGGGGTCTGGCCCTGAGGTTTTCCAGAGTCCCACAGGAGGTCCTGCCGTAGTCCCGCTGAGCGGCTGTCACTCCATTGTTCAGCCCCTGCCTGCTTATAAATAGAACCCCGTCCGTTCCGCAGCCCTGGCCGGAGATTCTCCACATTGTTTTCAGCCCTAGACTGCCAGCTGCAAAGAGTCCCACGGGAGGGGCTGCAGACAGAGCCCAGGGGGCACGTTGCACCAAGAGGAGCTCACCTCTGCCCTCACAGGCCCCCCAGCACTGTCCTGGCTCCCTGCTCCGTGGCCTGGGGGTGCAGAAGAAGAGGCGCCTCCCAGCCCTGCCCGGGCCCCATTCCGCAGCCTTCCTAGGCTTGACCTCCTACCTGGGGACCCTCACCGTGGCCTGCGGGTCCCGCGTCAATCCCCCCGCATTCCTCTCCAGACCCTCTGCACTTGCTCCGTTCCTCTGGGGTCCTTTGGCCCCCGCACAGGGCCAGCGAGCCTCGGCCCAGCACACGCTCCCATGCCCCTGCCCGTCCTGCGGGGCTCCGCGGGAGCCGTGCCCCTGGCCCCCGCGCCTCCCGAGCTGCCTGCACTGCTCGGCCCCAGCACCCCACGTTCTGGTCCTGTCCCACCGCACTGCTCCTCTGAGGCCCGTGTCAATCACACTTACTCGTGCGATTGGTGGTTTGATTTGTGTGTTTAGCCTGCCCCTCCCCCCAGTCAGCTCTGTGAGGACAGACCATGCCAGCCTTGTCTCTCCTCAGCCCCTGATGGCGCCAGGACAGCAAGAGGCAGGAACTGTGGGATAAATGCCGCTCTTGAAGGACTTCCCAGAGAAGCCAGGACTTCCTCAAAAACCACATCCCAGTA